CCCCCCCAATAACCACCCCCCCAAAAAAAACCCCATCCCCATATATATAAATAGGAAAGGCTTAAGAGTGCTTCGAAGCCTGTTCCGTCCTTGACATGCTCTGCTCTCGTCCTGTGCCATGGCCAGAAATCTCATCATTCCTTGACATGGCCGTCAATTTAATAATTCAAATTCCAGACCGCCTATAGGCGATTTGCTACTGGTTACTGGTGGCCACAAAATGGCCCTGAGTCTCACGCATGCAGTTCTTCGTTCTCCTGGTAATTTAAACGGGGTGTTTTTCTCCGCTTGAAAAACAGAAAAAAAGCCTTTGCCTCAGGGTCACAACAAAACACTTGCCGACTGCCACTGCTCCAAGAACTGACCCAAATTCCTACGGCAACATTGCTCCGGCATCGCTTCTGCCCCCCCAGCCGCATTTCCACCATCGCAGACCCGAGGTGCCTCCGTGCCCTACCGTACGTTCAACACCTTTCCCAAGCTGGCCTCCACCCCACGTTTCTCCTAGCCGCTCCCGCTGGTCACAGCTCAGCTTTGCCCAGCTAGCAGGGCCAACGGGTTGTGCCGATCCTCTCAGCCCAGAGCGAGTTGAGCTCTGTCCGCGTCTTTGTCTCGGCTTCTCTTCCCGTCGCCGGCGCCTCCCTTGCCAAGGGCTCCCCACAACCCCTGGCCTGTGCCGCTCGCGGGGTCAGCCACCACGCCCGTCCCTGCTGGCCTTGCGATCTGCGCATCTTGCCCTGCATCGTCTGCCTCCCTTATCTTCCTCCTCATTCCCCTCCTTCTTTCGCGCCTTGCATCCTTCCTCACTGGTGTTCATCTTCCCACTGACATTTTTTTAACTCCATCCTGGTAATAAACAAATATGTGGAAATACAAACCTGAATTTGTGGCTTTTGTTCACCGCATCGTCTCTTTCTCTTCTTATTCCCCATCTGAATATTAACAGCAGGCAGAATGCCGGGGGTTTTGTATTCTTTCCATTTTGTGTCCTTTTCACTTTAGCCTGCGCCACACAAAGTTTGTGCTCACTCACAGCCCAGGAGCGGAGAAGGGGTTTCCTAAACACAAGAACTGAATCACGAAGGGAGCGGGAGGGGCTGGGAGGACGAACTGTGTCCGTTTGCCGCTTGTGAGCAGCAGCTCTGCTCCTCTGCTGCAGTCAGGATCTCTAATAGCTGCCTGCCTTTGGCCTGTGGTAATTGCTTCTATTTTTTTTTGCAAAAGTAAACTTAAATAGCATAAATTTAAAAAGAGAAAACAAAATGCCCTATTCATGATGGTATAACTTTTTGCCATCTCTTACTCGATGTTTACATTAAGAAAAAGATTCCAGGAGGGAGAACAGGGAAAACACACAGCTGTGAGAAGATTTGGGAAGCAGAATCCTACATTTGGTAGTCATATTAGAACAGATCTTGTCAGGCTAACACCTTCCTTAAGATGCTTAAATACAATATAAATATATTAAAAAAAGACCCTGGTAGCTCACTTTAACATAGTCAGTAAGAGACAATGGTTTTCACATAACACTTTGCATTCTTACCTCTTTGCCCAGCTTGAATCAATCAGATTTTTTGTCACCGTATCTTACCATTGCCTTAGGTCATGTAATCACATTAGTATCACGGACGAAAAGTATTACTGTCAAATCCTCCCAGTTTTTACACATTAATTTTATTAGACATCTTGTAACAAAGAAAAAAAACGTCCAACAACATGTAAATAATTCAGTTCTCATTTTAACAGTCAAAAGTCTCTCACTTTGCAGTGAAAGTGGAAGTGCAGTATTTGAACAAACATTTCCTTTAAACCAACGTGCCTTCAAGTTTGTTTTGCTGCTGCAGCTGTGAGACCGCTCCATTTTCTTTCTGAGGGGAAAGTGACCTTCACAAAATACCTGTCCCTCAGCAGCCTTTAACTTTTCCAGCTTCCAGGCAGTTTGCATTCCTTCACCCTTACAGCCCACCAGGCTACGACTGCTCACGCGTCCCAGGGCACAGTATTCGCTCTCGGCACACCAGACCCCCCTCTCTTCCCTAAACCACCCTCTGTTTAGGACACTAACCAAATCTCTGCAGAACAGCTCTCAGCACTCCACATAGCTAGCTGAGGTTGTTATGTATCAACAGGAGATATTCCTCATCCCACTCACTGGAGTCAGGAGTAGTGGGTGCTATTATTTCATCTCTTCTTATAATCCAGAGAGCGAAAGAGCAAGAATGCCATTTGAATGCAGATAACTCTCATGACAGTCAAATGTGTTATAAATGAGCTACTCAGGCAGATTCACACAGTGTAAAACTGAAACAAACAGAAATCCTCCAGATATCGGAGTAAAGATCTAAGATGTTGTTAGATGGAAAAATTACATTCCACAAAGGGGCTAACTGCACTCCCCGCCATACGCCAGCATGTTTTCTGCCTATCAGAAACACTTGGCTGGAACATGAACGGAATTTCCCCGAGCACTTCCAATGGCTAAGAGTCCTCTTTTAACTTCTCCCAGCACCTGCCCACTTCTCAAATGTTTGCAGATACCCACGCCACGTAAAACAAAGCTGCTGGTAATTTTCAAAGCTGCCCATCTTGATTTTTCACCTAAGCTAATAGCTTATGTTATTACACAAACATGTGCAGCCATTTCTGATAGCACACGCTCAGGCGGAGAGGTTCTAGGTTTAGGCGTAGGAAGTGACTATTAGCGTTGGTACCTATCTGGTTCCATGCAGCCTCATCAAGCACAGGCAGCCACCGGAATCAGTGGAATTTCATACAAAGTTATCAGCCTGGAGTGTAATTCCCAACAAGCACTAGTGTGTAACAGTTCTTATCTACTTCCCCATTTCTTAATCTTACTGTGCAAAATTCAATATTAACAGTTCGCCTCACCTGCTACAAAGTACTCCCATTCCTCATCTGCCCAACAATCTTTCAGTCCATTCCAAGTGCTGGGCAAATGATCTATCAAAATTACAGTAACAAAGCACTTAGTTCTAAAAGCTCAAATGTTTACTTTTAAGTGACGATGAAGAAAAAAATGTCAGCCCTCAAGAAGTCTTCAGAATCCAAAATCTTCACATCCTTTGTAGAAATTCCAGTGCTTTTCCATTACAGGCCATGGCAGAAGCTCCTCTTTAGGTACCAGCAATACCTCACGGAACTGAAGAAAACGTGTCAGACTTTCCACCGAGTCGAACTGGACAAAAGAGCCTGTTCAAAATGAATGCAAACGATTACAGAGTGTGTATTAGAGTAATGGAAAGCAATCACTGGCTTTGTCATCTGGAGAGGAGTTAACAGCTCACTAGCACCACGTAAGCGTTAGAGATCCCAAGGAACCTGATGTGTGTCCTAGGAAACTTGCACCGTAAGACCCCAGCCATCTGATCCGTAGCTCTCACCTGCACCCAGGTTTCAGTGAGGCAAGGGCCGTACTACACTTCGTGGTGCTTAGGGTGAGAAGTCAACTGCCCCGGCCATTTCATAGAACCATAGAATGCTTCGCGTTGGAAGGGACCTTCAGAGGTCACCTAGCCCAACCCCCCTGCAGTGAGCAGGAA